GAGAGAGAGAGAGAGAGAGAGAGAGAGAGAGAGAGAGAGAGAGAGAGAGAGAGAGAAAGAAGATATCAAGAAATTGGTTTAGGTGTTGATGGGAGCTGAGAAGCCCAGAATCTATGGCGAAGGCCTCAGACTAAACTCTCCAGCAAGAATGAGTGCTGTGGTTTTAAGGCAGACTTTCTTCTCCCTGTGGGGAATCTCATTTTTCCTCTCAAGACCTTAAGACCTCTGGCCTTTTATTTGTTCAGATTGCTTTACCATCAGTCAACTGATTGTAGACATTAACCACATTCTCAAAATACCTTCCTTGTTTCACCTGACTAACTGGGTACTATCGGCGGGTCTGGTCATCTGGTCGTGTTGACTTAAAGATAACCACTGCGGGCAGAAAATTGGAGTGATGACCAGAAGAATTTAAGACGCCGGAGTCCTCTGAAAATTGAGAATGAAACTGGAATTTTTGTGATTAGAACTTGAGACCATTTATTTGTCTTTGAGAGTGTTAAGGGGAAAAGATCAACAATTTGGAAATAGGCAACAGGAGGGCCAAATGTCCTGCAAGTGTCATTCTGGAACACTACCTAACAGGTCCACCCAAGGATTAGCTCATTCTCTGGAGGCATGCATGGGTGTTTGACTCACTATTTACCACTAGCTTTTACAACTCTTGAAGGATGAATGTTAACTTGTTGAAAATGATTCTTATCTGACCACAATGCAATTATCTTTTATCCCATGGAAAGAAAAATATTTCCACCCATAGATAAGATAATCCCCAAAGGTTACAGTTTTCTTTTTCCCTGTAAACAGTTCTGTCATTTAAATTCCCTTATTTTAGCATTGTTACTTTCTTTGACTGTAAATATTTGTCCCTACTGGACTCTTTGAAGCAGTTTTACATTCTGCTGCTTCCTTCATTTAGGAGCACCCAGGTCTTTGACATGAGCACATTCTAAGCAGAAGAGGCCTAGTTTTGACATTTGAAAATTATGCTTTGGCCAAAGGAAAGGGTGAAAGACCCCACAAAGCCAAATAACTTGGAGTTATTTGGGTAATACTTATTCTATACAATTTTTTACAAAAACACTGCAGCTTAATATTATTAATGCTATTTTAATAGAAGAAGAATCACAGATTCCACAAGGCTAAAATTATTCCCAGAACCACATTAACAATATGCGGCAGAGCTAGGATTAGTTGGAGCCCAGAACATACCACCTCAAAATATGACTGTAGGAGATCGGAATATGCCATTCCCAAGTATAATTCTTGGTGTATTCCTTGAGTAAGCTATTCTGAGAATCTGTGGACACAGTAGTAGATCTGAAAATCTTCCCTTTGTAAAAGAAATGTATAAAGAAAGCTTACATTAATAAGATAGCTACACTAGGGAGATGTCTGCTTCCAGACAACATTTATTATTTGAGAAGCTTCCTCTGCATACAAATAAAACTTCTATTCATCATTAACTTCCTCCCCTCCAGTTCCTCTAACTTATCTTCACCACCTCCCAGAAGCCTGGAGCTCCTGCTTCTTTCTGAAGAGATCATGGTGCTCTAAGAGCTTCAACCATCTGGCCTTTGTGTGAGTCTCCTAATTTTTGTGTTGTGCATAGATGTAAACATTTATGGGTCTTGTCCTGCTAATCTCTTTTATGTCAAGTTACTTTACAGTCCAGCCAAAGAACCTAAGAGGCCAGGGGGAAGTCATTTTCCTTCCTTTACAGAGCAAACCTGGTCTGTACCTGCTCTTCACTGTGCCATGCCATCTTACAGCTGAAGTAGGGGGAAGACACTCTGGAAGGCTTCCCTTCTTTCCTGTACTGAGGATTGAATCCAGGGATCCTCTACCTCCAAGCTGCATGCCTAACCCTTCTGTTCTATTTTTAGAAAGGATCTTGCCTAAGCTGGCCTAGAACTTGCAATCATCTTGCTTTAGCCTCCTGAGAAGGTGGGATTGCAAGATGCACCACCACACTGGGCTAGAAATCTAACTATCCTCAGCCTGCATGCCCTCTATAAAAGCTTGATAAATAGTTACTCTCTCCCATCTGACAGGGCCTTCATATTCATGTTCCTACAGTTTTTTTTTTTTTCGTGGCTCGTCCTCAATATTCTTCCTGGAGGGGAGAGAGAACCTTCTCTTTTTCCTCTGGAAATTTGATGATTGATTCTGAGAAATAAACTGGCAATACACAGATTCATAGGAGAAAAAGTAGTATTTATTTATTATGTGCATGAGGGCATCACGGGAGAGGAGGTACTCAATAATCCAAAGAGAGTAAGAAATTGATGTACTCTCTTCCTAGGGGAGAGGTTAGTGGGGGATGTAGGCAATTTTTAGAAGAAGAGTAAGTGATTTTTAGGGGAGGTAAATGAGCCCCGAGAATAGACAATAGCCTGAGACGTTTGCCTGGGCTCTGGATGTGATGTGAACTGTAGTCTTCTCTCCTGCTGGTTCATCTCCTGTGCTTGATGAGATTGTAGGGAAAGAATTCATCAAAGTGGAAAATCTGCTGAAGGGCCCGGCTTTCAGGTGGCTAAGGAAAGTTCCCAAGGGCCTGTGCAGAATCTTTAAAGCTGTTCTTTTCCTTGTGAAATTTTGATCGATCTATGAAATAAACCGAGATTAGACAAATTAAGAGGGAAAAGCATAAGAAATGTTGTTGCATGTCTATCACAGATGGTTTGGGACTCAAAGGAGGGATAAACAGTTGAATTTACATGAAGCTAAAAAAAAGGAGGGGGGGCTTAGACTTCCAGGGGAGGGAGGTGGCATGGGCTGTGGAAGAGAGAAAGAAGTGTTGTCTACTCATGCAGGTTGAGACTCCCAGGTAACAGCCACCATGATAATCACCCTCTTCTTCCTGGGAAAAGATCTTTTCTAGGAGAAAGGGGCATATGAGATGAAAAGCCTCTGCTTGCACTTGCCCTTTACTTCATTAGTGTAATTATAGATGTAAATTGCTTTTATAAAAGGGCCACTCTTTCAGAGTTAATCCTATGTCTGCAGAGGTCTACAGTTTCTCTGAATTGTCATCTTGAAATATGCCCAAGAAATATATTTTGAGGTGGCATATTTGGGGTTCTGTATTGCTCTTAGTTTGAAATACAAAGTGACATATTTTGGGGTATCATTTTCTGAGCACCAACATCACCCTTTCTAACACAGACTTCACTAGACCTTGATCAATTTGTGACAGTTATTCTTCAGGCATTGATTGCATCTGGAAATGCACTGAGCTTTTAAAATGAAAAGTAGAGAACTATCGCTCACCTTCCTTGTTAGAAAAAAGAATTTATCATTATTCAGCCTAAGATCAAATTAGTTTTCTTGCTAGTTTTAATAACTGGTGGGATATATGAATCTTGCAAGGAAACAAAGATATCCATGTCCTTTACATAGGTATTATTTGTTTATCACCACGTTTGGTTTCCTCTTGTCTATTTGGCTGAAATAAAACTGAAATATGTGGCCCCCATCTAAGGAATCCAGGAGAGGATGCAAGAAGTCCAGAACAGATTTTGTATTTATTTCAATTTAAAGTAGCTAAGCTGAGGCAGCCAGCTGCAGAGGTTCCTAGAGGACAAAAGATAAGTAAAAAACAAAGATTGTGATTTGATTGGCATAGTCTAGGAAGTTTATTAATGCAGACAGTCATTTGAAAGTTTCAAAGTGAATTTCTCAAATGCCAAAATGAAATATTGCAGTGGCCCAAGAAATGAAGCTTTATTTTTCAAAACAAACAAACAAACCTGAATGTTTAAAATAAGTCACTTGAGTTTGGTTTTGAAAAGGAGTTTAATTACATGAGGAGCTACTTGTTTTAGCAGCTGGATGCTAATGATTGCATGAGGACAATGGTAACACATGTAAATGTGATAAAATTCATCTTCTTATACTAAGAATAGGATTAGCCTCACCTGAAACTGCTGAGTCTGGAGCATCAGAATGAGCCAGTTAGGATTCTTCTGGTTGCAGATGGCAAAAACCTATTTAAACTTGCTTGACAGATGGAGGTTCCATATACCCACAGGAAGGGCCCCAGGGATGCTCATCAAGCCATCTCTACTTCTCTGCAAGTTGGGCATCTGTCTCTTCTGTGCAGTGGGTGGTATGGTTATCCACAGGCTCACCTGTCTGTTCCCAAAGGTCCAAGGATCTCAGAGTAACCCCAGAGAAGGGTTCTCATTGGCTTTTCTCAGACCTGGTTCAGGCTTATATGAACAATCATCTCAGGTCAGAGAAAAGGGGTGATGAGACTGGATTGACTTGTGTTAGAGACCAACATCTGAGACAATCACTATGGCCAATGAGGTGTGATCTAAAGGGAAATGGTAAATTCTATTTAAAGCACATGACTGTTCTGGAAAGAAGCAATCAGTTCTGAAGGTAGGAAAGTGCTACCTCTAGGTGTTCTGAACTAGGAATATTTGACATACAGGGGTAATGAATAGTTTAAAATTTCCTTTTTATTCATAAGAACACACCAAATTGTTTTTATGTTAGAACAAAATCACTCTTTAAAATTATCATTCTATGTATTCTGTGTGCAAGTTACCATGTTCCCTTTAAGGACCTGCAGTTATAGAGAGGACTCTGCTGCTTGTGAGCACATATTTTCCCTTCACACCTCTAAGAGCTAGTGATTCCTGGCAACCCTCCATTAAATCTTTGGTTAAATTCAAGGTGACTAAACTGCTATACACTTCAGTCATGCTTTGGTTGGACTCATCCCCACCCCACTCCATTCCTTTGGTCCTTGCTTTATTGATTGACTCAACAAATATTTAATGAGTGCCTATTATGCCAGTTGCGTAGATATAACAGATATAGAGATATAAATGAAATATAGTCCCTGCCCTCTTAAGCTATATCAAAAAGACACATCAGTCAAATTAATAGGGTATTGTAATACTGTATGGTAAGCCCTGTGATTTTCCTATTCTACTTTCCACTAGCCTCTAGGCCACAGTGAAAAACATTCCCCTGTGCATCTCAAAAGACTTGCTCATCCTATCCACCAGTATCTGTGAGATTTTTTTTCCCCCAAGGAGGGACTAACTTCAATTCATAGATACAATAAGGACTGAAATGCAAATGCCTCTGAAAACTAAGTGTTTAAAGTTCATATTGAGATAAAATGACTGATCTTATATAATTTCTTGTAAGTAGGATGACATACAGGTTAACTTTCAGACTGGGTCATTTCTAACAGTAAAAGGGGGTCCTATTCCAATGAGACACCAGGAGAACAGGGATAAACTAGAACAATTCTGGGGAAAGTGGCACAAATGGTAACTGTGACCTTAATAAGGGAGATTTTTGGGGGGAGATTCAAAATGGTGGGCCAGAGGGAGGCAGCATTCTGAGTCTCTCCTGGACCTGGGACTCAAATAGTGAGAATACTGCTTCTCTGCAAAGGATAGAGGACACCCCACAGCTGCTCCTGCACAGGAATCATGGCCACCATGCCCATGCAAGACTCCGGGACTCAGCATCAGAATAGGTCTCCCAACTCTTCAACCATGCAGATTACCGGGTGCCCGAGCAGGACCACTGGCATCGGCACTCAGGCAAAATTTTCGGCCACCCACCCAAGTAGAAATCCTGGGCACTGCTCCCATGCAGGACACCGGGCAGCTACCCACATGCAGGCACTCCAGCCACCACTCCCGTGTGGACCCCCATCTACCAATGTGGGGCTACCTTGGGCCTCTATCTCGGGACTCTGCAGCAATGGAGATATTCCCCTACACAGAGTAGCCTGTTTGCACCTGGGAACATCCCACAGGCTCTGAAGACAGCCAAGAGCCACAGAGCTCATCTCTGAACTCATTGTCCAATGTCATCGCCTGGCTCCCCTCACCCGGCCTGACACCCCATCGCTGAAAGCAACTGCCTCCATCTTGGGTCACCTTTATCACCATCTTTAGTGGGGGCAATTCCCAGTTTGGAACTCTTGCTTACCAGGTACCCAGTTTCTAATCCACCCTCTCCCCAGCAGCAGCTAACCTGGCACAGTGATTGCCCAATACAAAACAGTTTTCAGCGGCAGGGGTACAGTGCCCAAGGGCCACACACACAAGACCTCCAGAGAGAAAAGTCCCTTATTAGGAAGTAGGAAGGGAGAGGGTGAGTGTGATACAGTTTAGAGACTAACATAGAGACTAGGAATTGGGAGGTCTTCAAGCAAGATAGGGAGATAAGACCAGGTACCAAATCACACAAATGGGCCCCAAAAGAGATCCTTGAGGTGTAGTCTCCCTTCAGGGACTGGCAGGTGCCATACCCCACTTCCAGGTGCCCTCCACCCAAGACCAACCCTCCCATCCTGGTTACCTTCACCATCCTGAGGGTGAAGATTCCAGCTAACAATGGAGGACTCCACCTATTGGATGAGAAGGGAAGCAGGAAAGATATGCTGGTCTCCAACCCAAACAATCCTTGTTTCTTCCTTTGAGATTTTTTTTCTTCTCCCTCTCTATTCTCCTGCTCTCAAATCCCCAACATAGGTGAAGCCAAGTACTTTGTATGAATTAGGATATTGAGGACTGGGATGTCTGAATAGTATATAACAGTTATGTTGCATATTCTTTTTTCTTCATTTATTTTACTATAGTAACATTTTTTTATTTTTCTTAATATTCATGTGTGTTTGTTTTTTGTACTCCACTGTCTTTTCACTTACTTGTCTACCCAAAATTACTTCCTCTTTCTTCTACTAATCTTCTTCTTTAGATTTCCCTTTTACACTTCCTAAGATAAACTAACTCCATATCCTCATCTTGTACCTCCTCAGAATATCATCCTACACCTTACCCCGGTTCTTTATCCACCATCAGAAACTGTAAACCTTTTTGCAAACCTACTGATTATATTGTAGATAATAATTGAATTCACCATTTCTGTACATTGTGACCAAACTGTAAATGTCTTAATAGCAACTATTTGATTTAAGGCTGTATGTTGTTTATATTGGGATCTGTTAACATTGTCCTTCCCCTCAAAGCAGAGATATTGGAACCCTACAGGGGCACTATAAGCCTATAGGGCAAAAAATGGTAACACTTCAGATCAACAGTGTTAGTAGGAAAGACACAGGAGCAACATGAAAAGAGAAGGTAAGAAAGTGTCCCCCTAAAATCAAGGTACCACATTATTAGAATCCATGGCCAGCACAGCAGAAAAAATGACAGAGAAGGAGTTCAGGATGTACATAATTAAAATGTCCTGTGAATTAAAGGATGATATAAGAGAACAAATATAGGCAGCAAAAGATCATTTTGATAAAGAGTTATATAAACCAATACACAGGAAGCAAAAGGTTACTTCAATAGGGAAATAGAGGTTCTAAAAAACAACAACAACAGAAATCCTTGAGATGAAAGAAACAATAAACCAAATTAAAAGTTCAATTGAAAGCATCACCAACAGATTAGACCACTTGGAAGACAGGACCTCAGATGATGAAGACAAAATATGTAATCTTGAAAAGAATGTAGATGACACAGTGAAAATGGTAAGAAACCATGAGCAGAAAATTCAAGACATATGGGATAGAATGAAAACACCAAGTTTAAGTTATTGGGATAGAGGAAGGCATAGAG